AAACATGCAATTGATTGGAAAATAATGAACTATTTCACATAATTTTTTTTCTAAACAAGTTTTTGGAACTTGGGGTGTATCTTACAGCACATGTCAGTTCAGACTAGCCACATTCCAAGTACTCACTAGCCACATTTGCAGTGACACTGTATTGGACAGCAAAGTTCTAAACCTTTCAAAACGGCTTGCAGAGGGCACTGGAAAGAGCCCTCAGAGAGGGTAGGAGAGACATGTCCTCATGATTTATGAGCTCTTAACAAAGCCACAGGTTTCCTCTTCTTTAATCCTTCCTTCTCTCCAGTGGACTGTAATGTAGTAGAGTATAGCCCTGGGCTTGATGCTGCCATTATTTACCTCTCAATCTCTCTAAGCCTAAGTCATGGAACCTTCTAGGTCTCAGTTTCTCATCTATAAAATTCAGAAAAAAAATTAGGCAAGATGATATCTGATATCTTAGAGAAACCTGATATATAAAAAAAATTCATCTTGGTAGGAAAGGTAAAGCAGGAAGTAATTATTAATGTTACAGAAGAATTAACCACAGGATCTTTTAAATGGCAAGCTCCCTTAGTGCATGGAAGAATATGACTCAATTTGCAAAATGTGATTGACACTTGACATTTTAGTAGCACATTTGTTGGGCTGGGAACGGTCTACCATCATAAAATGCAAGCTGAGCAGTCATATTGAGCACCTACTGCATGTCATGGATGCTTATAGGGGCCCCAGCAGAACTAAGGGTGATCCATACTCAGAAGGCATTTAGAGGCTCATGGGAAAGACAAGACACAGCTTGACATTGCTTCAGTGGCAGGGGCCAGGGAGGCCTTGGGCCTAGAAGAGCTTAGAAGGTGATGTGGAGGTGTTAGGACCCAGCTGTGGCCAGAAGGCAAGGAGGCTGTGCATGATTACTTAAGTTGAAAGAAAGGGCAGTTGCCTGCATGGTGGCTCACGCTTGTAATCCCAACTCTTTGAGAGGCTGAGGCAGGTGGTTGACTTGAGGTTAAGAGTTCAAGACCAGCCTGACCAACATGGTGAAATCCTGTCTCTAGTAAAATAACAAGTATTAGCTAGGCGTGGTGGCAGGTATCTGTAATCCAAGCACTTTGGGAGGTCAAGGTGGGTGGATTACTTGAGCTCAGGAGTTTGAGACCAGCCTAAGCAACATGGTGAAACCCTGTCTGTACAAAAATAAAAAATTAGCTGGGTGTGGGGGTGTGCACCTGTAGTCCCAGCTACTTGGGAGGCTGAGGTGGGAGGATCACTTGAGCCTGGGAGACAGGTTGCAGTGAACTGAGATGGTGCCACTGCACTCCAGCCTGGGAAACATAGCCAGACCCTGTCTCAAAAAAAAATTTTTTTTAGTATCTCCGTAATTATAGATTGTGCACATGTATTACCGTACTAATTGAAAAACAAGAAAACCCCAGAGAAGCTCCTATACTGTTGTTATTAGGCTCAACAAACTTTTGAAACACATAAATTGAGTATTGTATGATTTTAGACATTGGTGGAAAAATGAAGACATTTTCTTCGTGGTTCAGGTACATAGTTTTAAAATATCTTGCTAATCCCGATGGTTCCACATTTATACCAATGTTAAGGGTATAAGGAAACCCATATTACAAATGATCTTGATAACTGAGAGTTTGGGGGCCATCTCCCTATAAGATCTGATGTATCCTCCCAATGTGGCTAGCAAAGAGCTCCCAGCAGAAGCCTAAGTGGCAGCTCTGCCATTTTCTTGGCACTTAGCCTCATGTCATCTACAGCTTCTATTTTCTTAATACACATCTTTTCAAACAACTGACCCACTTTTTGAGGGCGATTTCAGTGAGAAGAGGTGATAGCCATAAGGAGGCTTTACCAGGAGGCACCGCAGAACTGCAGGGTGCCTCATGGTGGGGACACAGCCAAACCGTATCAGATGGGAATTATTAGCTTTGACATTTGTACAACTGAGACCCAGAGAAGTCTGCATCACATAGAATGCTGGTGCTTCCTCTGGTGGTACTCCTTGGTTCCGCTCTCCCTCCGGCTGCTTCCTGCCCCTTGAAGGATCCCTGACTGTGTGTCCTGGGGACTGGGTCAAGGAGCCTGTGTCATTCTGTCAATGGAACAATAGAGAAGTTGAATCATTACTTTTCTAAAGTTAAAATGAATAGACATTGTACTTTTTCCCCCCATCATCTCAGTGGATGCCTGAAGTGAACACATCCCACTGGAGAGCACTAGGTCAGAAAATAAGCTTAACTTATTTGTTGAGCTTCAAGCTCTTTAAGTGGAAAGATGGGCATCAGAATGTTGGGAGGGTTGAGATAGTGTAGGGAAAAGTATCTGGAACATGAACAGTGATTACTGTAATCTCAGTTTCTATAGCAATGCTTTTTTTGTTTGTTTGTTTTTGAATCAGGGTCTCACTCTGTTACTTAGGCTGGGGTGCAGTGGTGCAGTCATGGCTCACTTCAGCCTCACACTCCTGGGCTCAAGCCATCCTTCTGCCTTAGCCTCCCCAGTTGCTGGGACTACAGATGTGTGTCATCGTGCCTGGCTAATTTTTTAATTTTTTGTGTAGAGATGGGGTCTTGCTATGTTGTCCAGACTGGTCTTGAACTCCTGGCCTCAAATAATTCCCCCACTTTGGCCTTCCAATGTGTTGGAATTACAAGAGCCAGCAAAGGTTTAATAGATCAATATCTAGGCTATCTGAAGAAAGCTGTGTTTTACTTTACCTGGTTCCAATTGTCATGATGACTCATTTTAACTGCTGGGGTGGGGAGCATAGCACGGTACAGTAAAGTCAGAGTGTTCGTGCCTTCATACTTGTCAGGAACACAGAGAAATCTGCAAAGGTTGCCTTGTTCATGTTCTTCCACTCCTTTCTTTAATAAGTGATGAGAATCGTTCACAACTCAACTTCATCCTGGGCAGATTTATGACAGTAAAGTAAGCCAGCTAACTTTGGAATAAAAAAAATAATAAAGTAATTTTCATTCTGAGTTGCTTATGAATTGTCTGGTTTAGCAGATGTTATGAGTAGACAGACAGAGCACACCAACCAGGGTGGATAGGATGTTTGGAACTGGAAGTGCTTTGGGAATTTATCCTGAATGGATATACAAAGCCCTTGTGACAGGTACCCACTCACAACCAGTGTTTTTCCTGGAAAACCTGTCTCAGTGTATTGAAGTTTTAACTCATTTGTGCTTTTTGTTCCCTGTTTAGGAAATACTTGCCAAACCTAAGGTCATTCATGAAGATTTTCTCCTATCCATTCTTATAAAAAGCTTTACAATTTTAGCTCTTAGACTTAGATCTGTGATCTATTTTGAGTTAATTTTAGTATATGCATGCTTTACAGAGCTTATTTAACTTTTCCTCTTCCATTATTTTACCGTAATTTCTGAATTGCTAATTCACCACTAGGGGTTTCATCTAATTTTTGTTATCCTTATAGTCATTCATTTGCCATTCATTCATTCATATGGATCTGCAAATTAAAAAAGGAAAAGGTGGACAGGCGTGGTGGCTCATGTCTATAATCCCAGCACACTGGGAGGCTGAGGCAGGTGGATCACCTGAGGTCGGGAGTTCGAGACCAGCCTGGCCAACATGGTGAAACACCGTCTCTACTGAAAATACAAACATTAGCAGGGCGTGGTGGCATACACCTGTAATTCCAGCTACTTGGGGCGCTGAGACAGGAGAATCGCTTGAACCTGGGAGGTGGAGGTTGCAGTGAGCTGAGATTGCACCACTGCACTCCAACAGAGTGACACTCCATCTTTAAAAAAAAAAAAAAAAAAAAAAGGAAAAGGTTATGAAATTGGTTCATATTGAGGTGGTCATGAGAAGCCCAGTCTAAATGAATTGTATAATTGATACATGCATGAGTTAACTAATTTTGGGATTGATTAATTCTGCTAATTTGCATTGGCACTTTGTCAGTGAGAACACCCACCTTTCTTACCTGTTGCCTTTGCCTGTTACCAAGTATGAGAGATTGCCATAGTCAGGAAAACAGTGTAATATGGAATTGATGTGTAAGAGCTCATCTGTTGGGAGGGCAGTTGGGGTTCTGATGTAGGCAGTCTGGGACATTGGATTGGCCAACTAGGCCCTCTGTAGCAGCCATCTTTACACGTGTTGTCACTGCAAGATGGGTGTTACCTCTATAGGATGGTGTATTAGTTCGTTCTCCTGCTACTAATAAAGACATACCCAAGATTGGGTAATTTATAAAGGAAAGAGGCTAAATTGACTCAGTTTAGTATGACTGGGGAGGCCTTAGGAAACTTAACAATCTTGACAGAAGAGAAAGCAAACATGTCCTCCTTTACATGATGGCAGGAAGGAGAAATGCCAAACAAAAGAGGGAAAAGCCCCCTTATAAAACCATCAGATCTTGTGAGAAGTTACTTACTATCATAAGAACAGCATGAGGGTAACTGCCCTCATAATTCAATTACCTCCTACTGGGTCCCTCTCACAATATGTGGGGACTATGGGAACTACAATTCAAGATGAGATTTGAGTGGGGACACAGACCATATAAGATGGAAATTATTAGCTTTGACATTTTGTACAACTGAGACCCAGAGAAGTTAGCATCATATAGTATTGGCAGGGGATGGGAGACCTAAACGTCAAACTCACATCTGTTATCTGTACTCTGAGCTCAGGGAGACAATGCTGGACCCCCTCTGGGTGGGGCAAATATTGTTAGCTGGATGTCATCATGTGGCTTTCTCTCTGAAGTGCCTGCTGACCCCAAGACCTGTAGGCCACGCTGCCTGTGCCTGACCACAGAACAGCACTTTGTGGTTTCTGTGCTATAGGCTTCAGGTTAACCAAAATTGGGTTACTGTGTGTGGCCCTGTTATTTTGAATATTGTAGAGGGGAAGTCCCTTTAATGTGACTTTACTGGCCTTCAAGGGATACTGGGTCTCAGCCTTCTCCAAAATCTGACCTAAATTACTGTTTTCCCTGTTCCTTCCAGTGGAGGCCATAGTGGAGTTTGACTACCAGGCCCAGCACGACGATGAGCTGACAATCAGCGTGGGTGAAATCATCACCAACATCAGGAAGGAGGATGGAGGCTGGTGGGAGGGACAGATCAACGGCAGGAGAGGTTTGTTCCCTGACAACTTTGTAAGAGTGAGTACAAAGCAAAACCCTTTTCCTGTCTCTTGTGTGGGCTCTGCTGACCAAAGGCCGTGGGGGCGCTTGAGGATGAATTGCACAGACTATCTTAGGGGATGGCTTGATGGCTTGACGTCCTATGTGATACCAAGAGAAACATGTATAGTTTTGCCCTTGGTATCTGGGATACTTGTTTTGAAATTGCCTTTTTTTTTTTTTTTTTGTAGAGATGGGGTTTCTCCATGTTAGTCAGGCCAGTCTTGAACTCCCGACCTCAGGTGATCTGCCCGTCTCAGCCTCCCAAAGTGCTGGGATTACAGGTGTGAGCCACTGCTCCTGGCCTGAAATTCCCTTTTTTAAGGCTCAGGATGATCTCTTTTCACTGTGTATCACTTCTTAGAAAATGCTGAGGCTGGGAGCAGTGGCTCACGCCTATAATCCTAGCACACTGGGAGGCTGAGGTGGGCGGATGACTTGAGGTCAGGATTTCGAGACCAGCCTGACCAACATGGTGAAACTCCGTCTCTACTAAAAAATACAAAAGTTAGCCGGGTATGGTGGCACACGCCTATAGTCCCAGCTAATTGGGAGGCTGAGGCGGGAGAATTGTTGGAACTCAGGAGGTGGAGTTCAAACTCTATCTGATTGTGAACAGAGATTGTGTCACTGCGCTCCAAGCCTGGGCCAGAAAGCAAGACTGTCTCAAAAAAGCAAAAAGAAAAGAAAAGAAAATGCTGGAAAAATGTAAAGCTTGTTAAATTGTTGTATGTACTTATTTATTTGCTTTGAGAGTTTAAAAGAATTTTACTTTTTTCTATTCCTTGCAGAATGGAGGTAAAACTCAGTTTAGACCACTTAAATGAAATAGCAATCAAATTAAATGTAGAATCCAGCCAGACATGGTGGCTCATGCCTGTAATCCTGGAACTTTGGGGAGGTTGAGGCAGAGGGTCACTTGAGCCCAGGAGTTTGAGACCAGCCTGGGCAATATAGGGAGACCCTGTCTCTACAAAAATAAAATTAAAAAATTAGCCAGGTGTGGTGGTGTGCACCTGTAGTCCAGGCTACTCAGGAGGCTGAGGTGGGAGGATCACTTGAGCCCAGAAGGTTGAGGCTGCAATGAGCCATGATCACGCCCCGTCTCTAAGTAAATAAATAAATAAATGTAGAATCCAAATTATGCAATGTCTTAAATGAATGAATGAATATAGAATTCAAGTTATGCAATGTTTTCCACCTTTGTATTCATATTGCCCCCCTTTTTTTGAAACAGAGTGTTGCTCTCTTGCCCAGGTTGGAGTGCAGTGGCACAAACTCGATCTTGGCTCACTGCAACCTCTGCCTCCCAGGATCAAATGATTCTTGGGCCTCAGTCTCCTGAGTAGCTGGGATTACAGGTGCTTGCCACCACGCTCAACTAATTTTTGTATTTATTTTTTGTAGAGTTGGGGTTTCACCATATTGGCTAGGCTGGTCTCAAACTCCTGACCTCAAGTGATCTGCCCACCTCAGCCTCCCAAAGTGCTGGGATTATAGGTGTGAGCCACCACACCTGGCTCATATTGCCTTTTTGATAGGAGCAGTATTATTTTCCTTTACCCCTTTATGTCCATGAAGCACTGAACAAAACTTCTTCAGTAAGGTTTTGAAAATTATGCCTTTGCAGAAGTCATCTATGGATTAATTATAAAAATGTAACTCATTCATATTAATCAATTACCACACAGTTGTAAGTAATAGTTTGAATTGTTGGGTAGAAAAGGATCACCTGCAGGCTGTTCCTCATGGGAAATACTGACTAGGTCTATAAGTCCCGGTGCCATAAACTTTCTATCTCACACTGGAGAAGAATGGATTGTTCTCAGAAGGAAGACTTGCATTCAAAAGTCCTCGGATCCCCTGCTGTAGTCTCCCTAGTACCAGACAATACTTAAAAGGGAGTGTGCCTTGGATAAGGGAGGCAGGTAGTATTGGGAACCTTGGGCCCAGAGAAACAGGTGGCCCCTGCCAAAGGAGTCCTGAGGGCTGGGGGGTTTTTTTTTTTTTTTAAATGACAAGGGGTTGTTGATGAAAAATGTGTGATGCACACTGGATTTCCAGTCACTGCCCTTTCAGAGTTGAAAATGAATAGGAACCTAGTTAAATCTTTCCTTAGGATCTTGTCTCAGGGTGATCTTGCTAGCGTTTCTGTTTTCTCTTTGGTATGAGGAGGCTGGGGAGAGTTTTGTAGGGAACATGCTACTAAACATCGCTTTCTGGAGTTGTAGGAATATAGGCTTTTCCCCCACTGGACTACACTTGAATCCAGCTCTCTCCCATTTTAAGAGGGAGAAAGTGCTGCATCTGGGCCACTGCAGATTGACTCTGTTGAGGTGCAAATGGAAGTTCGTTTGCATATCCAAGCAAAGACCCCAGTTTTAGGAAAGGAGTATCCCTGAAGTTGAGCTGCATTCTAGTGTGGAAAGAGGGGTTTTCCAGATAAAAGAGGCAGTGGTTAGAGTGAAGATGAAGGAGGAAGGAATGAGAGGGGAAGACTATGGGAAAGAGAAAAGACCTAGGGAAGGAGAGAAGACTGTGGGAAGGAGAGGAAGATTGTAGCAAAGTGAGCAGGACTGTGGGGAAGAGATAGGAGGGCCCTGGGAAGGAAGGAGGACTGTGGGAAGGTGAGGTGGACAGTGGGAAAGAGGGAGGAGGACCCTAGGAAGGAAGGACTGTGGGAAGTGGAGAAGGATCATGGGAAAGAGAGAGGAGGACCCTGGGAAAGTGAGAGTGCTGTGGGAAGGCAAGGAGGGCTGTGGGAAAGAGAGAGGAGGACCCTGGGAAGAAGGGAGGGCTGTGGGAAGGGGAGGAAGACCATGGGAAAGAGAGCAGAGGACCCTGGGAAGGAAGGAAGAAGGTTGGGAAGGCAAGGAGGGCTGTGGGAAAGAGGGAGGAGGGCCCTGGGAAGGAGGGAGGACTGTGGGAAGGGGAGGAAGACTGTGGGAAAGAGAGAGGAGGACCCTGGGAAGGAAGGAGGAATGTTGGAAAGGCAAGGAGGACTGTGGGAAAGAGGGAGGAGGGCCCTGGGAAGGAGAGAGGACTGTGGGAAGGAGAGGAGGACCATGGGAAAGAGAGAGGAGGAGCCTGGGAAGGAGAAAGGACTGCAGCATCAGCTCCAGTTTTGAGGGTAGGTTGTATTTTGAACACCTTTAATGTGTCTTGTTGGCTTAGTCACCTCATTTTAAACCACAAATCCACAGAATCACAGAACTGAGTTGGAAGAAACTGAGAAAGCCTATGGAATTTGCTCATAGCATAGGGCGGGCGCGCTGTCAGTGACTGTGGAGGAAACCAGGGCAGGGAAATGCAGTGCAGGAACTGCCCGTGAGAGAGCTGGAACCTGACCCTCCTCCTTGCTCAGAGATGACTCGTCACTGTGAAATGGAGGTGATGTCTTGACCACCAGGAGGTCTCCCCATTGCCCCACCTGCTCTGCTTTGGGCTAGGCCTGTGTGGGCATGGCAGCAGGCTCCTGTCCCGTGGCTTCCCATGAGCTTTGGCTCAAGGGAAGCCCTGGTGGGAGACAGCAGGGAGGGAGGGAGAACAGAGAGACTGGGGGTGGGGGGAGGCGGTTATCCCACCAGCTCCCTGCCAATGGGGATTTTGGGCAGGCCGTGCCCCTCAGGGGATGGGTGGCTGCTCCAATCAGGTTCACCTTCCTCCTCACCCCTCTCCCCTCATTCCTTCAGGTCTGGGGACTTCCCTGTTTCTAGCCCTGGACTCACCTTGGGCTTGCTCTATACCTCACCCACCCTGTGAAAGTCTCTATTAATCCCACCCCAGATTACCCTAATTCAAGTGGGCCATCTGTTTCCTTTTGAGAACCTGACTACCTCATCGGCGTGCTCAGAGGATTAAACCAGAGAGTGCTGGAAATTGTTTAGCACAGTGGCCAGCCCCGCGGTGAGTGTGCAGTGGTGCTGGTCACCAGGTGAGAGAAATGTGTCCTTTCCTCTGGGCCTGAATTGCCCTGCTCTCGCCTGCTCAGGTGTCCTCTAGTTTCAGCTGGAGCAATTCCAGGGAGGGGAAGCATGCTCTGGGGAGTTGCTTTTTCCACCTAGGGCAGAAAGGATATAGCAGGAGTGGCTAGGGCTGCGCTACTTGTAGCTGTCACATTTGGCAGAAAAAGAAACTTCTATTCTTTCAGATGGCTGAGTCTATTTTCAAGTCTTCACCCACTGGAAATGTTTTAGGCCTATTATTGAAAATTCAGTAGGTGGATGCAGTGGAGTTTAACAATAACCAGAACTCTGTAGAGAATTTTAAAAGCTGAAAATGCATCTTTAAGTAATAATAATCATATTGGCATAGGTATGTACTTTTGAAAGTGGCTTTATGTATGTCCTGTTTAGTGTAAGAATAACATGTCCCCAGATAGAATTGGATAATCTTCTAGAATCCCATTTTTATACCTGCATGCCTTTCTGTCCATGTTACCACCGTCAGAGAGCCTACCTTAAGCATTTTAAAAAAATTTTTGAGACAGCGGTTACACTCTATTGCCCAGGTTGGAGTGCAGTGCCATGTTTTTGGCTCACTGCAGCGTTGACCTCCTAGGCTCAAGTAATCCTCCCACCTCAGCCTCCTGAGTAGCTGGGACTGTAGGCACAGCACAGCACCACACCTGGCTAATTTTTGTATTTTTAGTAGAGATGGGGTTTTGCCTTATTGCCCAGGCTGGTCTTGAACTTCTGTCCTCATGATCCTTGCCTCAGCCTTCCAGAATGCTGGGATTACAGGTGTGAGCCACCACTCCTGGCCAAGCATTTTCTTGATTCATTTATCAGATCCTTATTCAGTGTCCTTTTTGAGCATGGTCCCCCAGTGTGTTGGGATTCAGTATTTGCCTTCATCTCAGTGCTGTCTCAGTCTCTCAAGAGAAAAATACCAGCCATTCTCCTGCTATACTGAGCAGCAGGCCATCCAATTGTTAAGAAGATACCCGTGCTTTGTCAGCTCTCAGGCTATTTTTCATC